AAAATAGAAAATTGGACTACTAGAAATCAAAAATTATATTCTTAAAAATATTTTGTGATTTGTTTTACAACAAAAAAATATTGCTCGGGTTATTTTGCCTACTTTTATTTTTAATTGTGTATCTGAAGCTACAATTAAAATATAACATATCACATACTTTTGTTATTCCTCAACTAATTTATGATTATAATATTTATCTATTAATAATCTATAACGATCACCGTGCACGGCACGGGATCTAACCTAGTTTATATATATATATATATATATATATATATATATATATATATATATATATATATAACCGTTAATCTATATATTGCACATTATTTTATTATATTTTTTAATTTATAAACAATAACCCGGGATATCGCCCGGGCAAAAAACTAGTTAAATATTAAAAATCTATTTATTGAGACAATTCCAAAAAATACCCACAAGACTATTTATTGTTGTACATAAATTATAAACATTAGTTAAAGTGAATTAGGTGGACATTGCAAAAAGTCATAACATTTAATTTATTTAAACACAAAAGGAGTACATAAATTTAAAACTTAACAACGCATAAAATTTGACTATTTTTCCTATTTTTATTTGTTGCCGAAAATAGCACAAGTCATACAAGTACCGATCAAACTGTTTTTTTTTTTTTAAATAAACAAATAAATAAAATAAGAGCATATTTTACACCCTATCATATACCTCTATCATCATTGGACTCAAATAAAGCAATAATATGATTTTACCATTGACGTTATGATATTACTCCGTATTTTTTATGTCATTTTATTCCCAAATTAAGTATCAATACCTGTCCAAATATATATATATATATATATATATATATATATATATATATATATATATATATATATATATATATATATATATATATCGTCATCAGTTATCCGCTATTGCTCACGAATCGTATAAATGGCCTGAGGTGAAAATGAGTAGAAAGAATCTGTTGCAATTAATGAGAGACGTCATGAAATTAATTCTTTTATTGAATCAATATCAAGTAGAATATGTTCTTGTTGATCTACATATATTAAGGTCCTATACTCCTATTTGACAAAAGTAACGGTAGCGGATAGCTGTTAAGATAGTGAGTAGCGGTAAATTAGTATGGGTAGAGGTTAGCTATCAACGTAAAAGTTGATAGTAAGAGTGTTTGCAAAAGTAGCAGCTGCAATACTAAAATATATCAAAATTCATATAAATATTGTTTAAAAAGTAATAAAAAGTCTTTAAACGCTACCCGCTCTTCAAACGCTACCATTTATAACGTTTGAGAAAGGCTACATAAATACTACATCTATCGCTAACCGCTATCTTGCCAAACGTTGTCAAAATTTTTCTAATAGTGTTTTGACTGGTCAAAACGCTAACAGTTACCTCAAACGCTACCACCAAACAAAGCCTAAAGCTGACGAAACTAGTGTAGCAAATAAGGTACATGGTCATATTGCTAACATTTAGGTTAAACTAAGACCTGGTTCTATACGCCTTAGTTGCATGACATTCAATAAAATAATTTCACTTGAGGAAAATAATTTTATTTCAGTAAAAGAAATATTTCCTCAAATTTTTTTTCAAAAAAGCATACAATACTTTGACTTATACACTATTTAATTTACATACTTCACTTTGATTGTTTACGTTTTATTTGTGATATATAGTTATGGAAAATGATTTTTTTTGGAATTTTGTTAGCCTTATCTTGATTTATGCTACCATAATATCTAATTTCTATAATTTTGACTTACTAATAATGAAATATTTACTTTTATCTGATTCAAAAAGTACATTGACAAGTGTGACATGATAATAAGTAAAAATAAATCAGTTAAGTTGGACAAAAAAAAATCCATGCAATTAAATAAAAATCTATAGTATATATTAAAGAAAAAAACATATAATAAGAAGTAGGAAAAAAAAATATTAGTAAAAAAAAAATTCATCAAAAATATGTAATTATATTTTAGTAAAAATAAACTTCAATTCAGTATATTGTTTCATTTTAGACACAAAGAATAATTTTTTATATAAGATGAAGAGAAGTAGCGAACTTGTCGTAATGCTTCCAAATTAAATTGTTAATGTTACCCAAGCATCAACTACAACTTTTGATGATTCTTTACATCAATGTTAAATCTAGAGTAAGGCCTTGTTAAGATCGCCTAAAAACGATATTTATTAAAAAATAATTTCAGTTCAGTGAAAATAAATTTAGTTCAATAAAACTAATTTCAATTATGTAAAATTAAGTTATGTTCAGTAAATCTAAAAAAAATATAATACCTTTCAAAAAAAAAACGCAATATAATAAAGAAACTAAAAGAATAATTTTAGTTTTGCAAATTAATTTCAATTCAATAAAACTAATTTTTTTTTATATACTGTAATTTGTTCTTGGTCCCTTTCTTACATTATATATATAACATTGTTATATTCACAATAAGGATCCACAACGTAACACATTCACTACACATTAGGTTGTATACATATTACAAAGTATTAGTTAAGCCTCACCTTTGTAAGCTAGGAATGGCTCAAATCCAGGTACGTTTGATTTTGTTATAACATTATATTGCCTGTCATAATTCATGCGTATGTGTTTAAGAAAAAAACCATGTGTATGTGTTAGTGTTATTGATATTTACATAATTAGTTGTAGTATAAAAATTTCCTTATACTACGATTATTGTTTCAGAGGTACGGACCACACGGTGACAAAGAGGCTGTAGAAAACTTTTCGTTCAAACTCGAAGGATCTGATCGAATCAAAGAAGTAATTGTTAGGGCAGGGTTCGTTGTGGATGCACTCGGGCTCACCATTGCAAGCGCCAATGGCGATAGCGACACTACAATGTTTGGTGGCAAAGGCGGACTTGAATACAAGGTCATACATATATATCTATTAAGCTGATCGATACTCATATTTCATAATCATAATCATAATCGTAATTTTACTTTTCTTGTATCGTGAAGATTAAGCTCAAGATTGGTGAATACATAACTGGAATAAGTGGGAAGACTAAAGATTCACTCATATCCAAACTGAGGATACATACTAATTTGCATCCTCATGGGCATGGGCTGTATGGAACTAGTGAACTTAATGGTGGATGCGAATTCAAATCTCCGATGCCATTAGCTGAGAATGACCATTTTGCTAGATTCTTTGGAACTGCTTATGACAACCTAGTTTCCATTGGACTCTATGTTGAAAAGGTAACACGTACATAAAAAGTTAGTAACTACTCCCGCCGTTCCAAAATTACAGGCAAATATACTATTTTGGATGTCCCAAAATGTTCCTCCTATTACTAAAGATAACACCTAATCATTACTTGTTTTTTAGCTTTTCTATACAAATTACACACATACCTAAAAAATCATTACTTACTTTTTCTCTTTTTCATACAAATTACACACATACCCAAACAATCATTACTTACTTTTTAACTTTTCTATACAATATTCTCTATAATATTTTTGATTATCCCCATACAACATTTTTCACTTTTTATTTTTTTTTCATACAATATTCCTCTACTTTTTTCATCCTCCTTAAAAACCGTACTTTTTAGAGTTACTAGGGTATCCTACGTGCGCGATGCGCGCGAAAAAGTTAGCTCTTGCATAGAAGTTGTATTAGCGCGTAGTTACACCTTTGGTTTGGGTGGTAGATTTGGTAGTTTTAATACGTACTATTTGGTTTATGTGCCTATATAGTGGTTTTGTAGAAATATAAAAAAGCCACCAAAATCTTAAATGATAATTATTTTTTAAAACCCTCAAAAGTTGGGCAGTGTTATTTCAAAATTATTATTAAATAATATTTAATTGATATGCATCCTTTCATATCTTAAGCTAGTTTAGAACTCTTAATTGATTTGCATGATTCAGTAATACTTAACGTATTTTTCTTCAAACGAATTTTTTGCGAGTTTGGTCATACGGAGTGATAATATGTAAAATGTTCGTTGTAGCTAAAAAAATAATAATGTAAGTTCAATGTTCTACGACCATCTAATATCTATATCTATATCTAATACTAAAGCAATAACCACTTAGTTATATTTTTCCTCTTAAATTCTCTCCATATTTAATACATTTTTTTACTATCATCAATATCCTTCGATTTTAGGCTTTTAAAGTTATATACCTCTTGATAATATCTGCTCAAATATCATTATTTAATATGAATGTCATTTAAATTCCACGTTGTTTATGTGTGTGCCATCAAATAATGTACAATTAAAAAGCTAATAAACCTTAACAATATTTGTAATAATTAAAGGACAACAAAATTGTAAATAAGAAGAGCAACCACGAAGGAGTAAAAATAAATCATCTCGTGGTAATAAACAAAGTCTTTGTACATACAATTTTTTTCCTTTTGTAAATAACAATAATAACATATGAAGTACAAAACATTATAATTTTTTTAATTACAAAAAAAAACTTTGTATTAATTGATGGTATGTTTAATGAAAAATAAACCAATTAAATATATTAATGAGAGTAAACATATTAATGAGGGTAAAAAAGTAAATATATATTTTTGTACACAATTTTGTACATATTTTTGAGGGTATAGTTGGTAGCACACTATTCCTAAGAGTTATTTTCTACTTTTTATAAGGTAGGGATTTGTTTGTAATTATGGGACGGACGGAGTAATATAGATTAAAAGGCCAGAAATTCCTAAGAACGTCTATTTGCCACGTAGACTTTTTTTTTTGCCATGTCACCTACCTAACATCTTATGGAGGAAGTAGTAAAGATGCCACATCATCACTACATTATGCCACATCACGAGGAGAATCCAATAATGATTTACAAAATATTCATGGTAAATGGGGGATAATTTTGTCATTTTATCAATTTCTTTTTTAAATAAAAAAAACATAAAAGGTGGCTAATTTACAAATTTTGTAAATCAGCTTTGGCTCGCTTTCTACAACTTTGGCAGGGTACCTAATTTGCTAACCTGGCCTCTAGCTATGTTGTGATCTACATAAATAACATGTGGGCTTATATCTAAACATTCTCAGGAGCCAGTTGAGTTGTAAAAAATGAAGGATCGTGGAGTTGGCCTGGTTGGGGGCCATGATAAACAAGTCTGGGCCACACCCGTCATAACAGTCCACTTTGTACGACCAAAGAGGTTCTATCTCAAAACCATATGTCAATGAGGGAAGTAGCTTCTTAGCCTTATAAAGTGGACACACCTTTCTTATTTCTTCAATGTGGGATACACATCTCAATACAAACTCTCATTTATAAACTCACCCAATGTGGGACAACACACCACTCACATGTGGGTTTTTTCATGGTCTCAACAGGCCCAGCTTCGCTTCACCCTCATATCAAACTATATGCATGTGAAAATTACTTATTAATTTTTTTAATTCAATTGGCAGAACTCGCAAATCAAGAAATGGGTGATTGCCAAGTGCGGACCTTATGGTTCTCAGTGTCCTGAAAACAATAGCTTTAAACATCAAGAGGGTGAAAGCATCAAAGAAGTGATTATAAGGTATGGTTTTATTGTGGATGCAATTGGATTCGTCGTAGCTAACCCGTGTGGAGGTACCTACACTAAGATGTTTGGTGGCAATGACCCTCGCGCAAACGAGAGAAAGGTTAAATACACAGTACACCTATTAATCTTCACGTTTCCAATATATATTACCTATTAATCTTGTTTTGCAATATTCTCACTTTAACAAACATTTATTCCATTCCATTTTTTATGCACAAATAGATTGTACTCAAGTGCCGTGAAAAGATAACTCAAATAAGTGGAACCTATGGTAACTACAAATACCAAAACAATGAATGCCTTATTGCCGCTATGAAGATCCACACCAATTTATGTCCAACCGGATATGGACCATTTGGACAAGGAGATGGAGTCGATTGTCCCCGTAATTTCTCATCACCACTCCTACTTGACAACCCTATTGTAGGAGTTTTTGGAAGGCACCACAACTATCTTGAGTCCATTGGACTTTTCTACAAAAAGTTGGTAAGACATAATTATAAACTCTTAGGATTATCAAATTTTGTTTTATATGTGAAATACATGTTGCTAATGTAATTGTATTTGACTAACGATTTAATTGTTTTCATGTCCATTTGATTAGGAATGATCATGCTCTTAAGTGTGGATGTGAAGTGTTTGGCTATCTTAATAGCTAGCTACGTTCCATCTTTCCGCTAAATTTGCAGTGGTTCTGTACTTCTACGGTCATCTATATTGACTATGTATGTTTTTTTTTTGTTTTTTTTGTTTTTTTTTTTAACGGACTATGTATGCTGTGTTATGAAATATTTTACTTTCCAATAAGCCAAATACTTTGTATACTACAAAGTGGCCTTTGATAATCTTATGTGTTGTAATCAGATCAAATATGTAATTATCTTAATGGAGTGTTGTATCGTTGCTACTTATTATAATATACTTCCTCCTATTGATTCAGTTTTTGGTAGATGTAGCTAAATTCATTAAGGGATTATTACATCCATAGTATTGGTTGAAGAGTTTCTATAGTAAAATCTAATAATTGATGCGGTAATTCTTTATGTAGACAAAGAGATTAATATGACGCATAGCGCACACTTAGTTCTGGTTTAATTCAACTAATATTTACTTATTTTAGAAAAAATAAGTTTATATCAGATCGGAATAGAAAAAATAAGTTCAGTTAAGATTATATCACAAAAAAAATAAGTTAATATTAGATCATTGTGTATTTACAATTTTTTATCGCTAAATATTTTTAATTTCGTAATGATAAAAATTATGAAAATTATATTTTAATAAAATACACATTATTATGAATCTAACAAGAAGCCACTTGATAATTTTTTTCTTTATAAACTATCGTACACTTTGGGTCAAATTTTGGTCAAATCCGACAATATGCTCATATCAGACAAGTAAAAATTAGGTGAACTAAACAAGCCCTTAATCAAATTAAACAACGCACAAAATACGATACAAAGAAAAATCAACCACAACATAGAATAACAAAATCAGAGCAATTTGATTTTCCAGGTTTAGTAAGATTGTGAAGCAACAAATGTATTCATACAAAGAAACAAATTAAACAAGTAGAGTTGCTAAAGCAATCGCGAGTCTACTCTATTATTTAGCCACGCATTTGCCGTTGAACGGACCGCCTTCACAATCGAAGCCAGGGCACCGCAAGGTTGATCAGCTCTCGGGCAGTAGTCGCAGGTGTAGAAGAACAATCCCCTGCAAGCAGTACCCGGGCAACAAGGCTCTTGATCAGAGCAGCTTTGACCCTCGGTGTTGCAAACATGGAATTCCTGCGCAGCTGCACGAGTAGCCAAACTTGCCATCATTGTTACGATGGCAATTGAAACAAGTAAAACCTTAACATAGCTTGAAGTGTTCATGTTAATTACCATGAATGTATGTCTTTTAGTAATTCATTTTTGTTGCTTCATTCTTTTCCTTTTTATAACCTTCATAATCAATGCTAATTGGATTAAACAACGCATGCAAATATGCAATTAATAATGTGATGCTGGCCTGGCCACGACGTTTGGAGGTTTCCTTCGCATGCACTTCTTTATATTACAGAATTTTGAACAATTTAGATACCTATTAATTATATTATATTAATGTATAAACTTTAATGCAGATCTTAAATTGAAATTTTGAATCTTGTGTTTATGATATATTTCAAAGTGAAAATTATAAAAGTATCAAAAGATAAAATTCAAATGTCGCGCCTTTGAGGTAGAAATTTCGGTTGTATGCTAGATTAAACATAGACCATTTTTTTTGGAAACTGGTCAAACATAAACCTTGATAGCTTAAACCCAATAGAAAATACAAGTTTATCATTATGATTAGCATTTAGGCCATGTTCACTTCAGGTTAATTTCAGTTCACATCAGTTCAATTCAACTCTTAATTTCCATCTCTCATAAAATATTCATTTCAGTTTTATTCAGTTCATTTCAGTTCAGTTCAATTCAAATTCAATCAGTTCAGATTCAATCAATCCAGTTCAATTCAGCTCAATTCAGTAAATATGAACAAACCCTTGTGCAAATAAGTCATTCAACAACTTTTACTAAATACTAATCTCACAAATGTTGATTTATCTACGAAAATGTCATGTTGAAGGGATATTTTGTTGATTTATTTGCGTAAATGCCACTAGATAAACGATTTTTGTATGTCATGAAGATAAACTGGGGTTTCCTCCATTCTCAAAAGACTACATATATATTTAATTGCGGTTAAGCCATTAGCAACTGGAAAGATGTTATTATTACCATCTTTCCCAACTGCAGTAAGTAATATTCCTGGATATGGACCCTTTAAATGGCACCCATCTACACCAAGTATAGGCCTACAACCTGCCATGAAACCCTGTTTGCATGGTTGTAGGCAAATGTACATCCTTTGGAATAGGACAGGTGGATGCTTTATGCCTGTGACCTTAACTATAGCTGTACTACCAGGATTAAAATGCCTTATAGCCTCTGCATAATCCCAGACTTTATTGTACTCATTTGCAGCATCTCCATATATCATCCTCATAGCTTTTTGCCTAGCATAATAACACTTATAATACCCCACCTCCACCTTGACCTCCCTCCTCACTCTCAACATAAAAGACACTAGCTTCCTTTTCTCTACCTCAGTTTCAGAGTCAATATTATTGCTCATCCCAATCTGCACACTAAATTCCTTTTCTTTCTCTTTAATTTGCTCATGGACCACATACATATTGTACCAGCCATCTTTCTCCTTTGATTGTAGAAACTCAGGAATGTCTACATCACTTTTAATTTCCTTCCTACCAGCAAATAAACTACACCCATATCTCCTAAACCAAATCTGTCCCACATCCTCATACCCCAACTCTCTCTTTATCCAATCCACAAATTCAAAGTAACACACCTCTTCTACATTTGGATGCAAGGACAGCCCAACATAATTACTTTCTCCCTTTTCATAAGTAGTTATTCTATTCTTTGTAACAAACCTTCCCCCATAATACAACCTAATATTGACAGGATCCATATTAATTCACGTTTATCCTACCAATAAACCTGGAAATAACACAAGTATGAGCATAATAACTATGGAGTACACAACATGCAACTAATCAAATTTTAAGATCCGAAACAAAATAACCCAATCAAGTTAACTAATTAAATACTTATTAAATCCAAAACAACAATATTTTAATCTAATCTGATTAAGGTTAACGATTAAATTAATATTAGGTCATGCCTCTTATTTCGCAATTTCCATTAATTAAATCGCAAAAGTTTTGTCTTTGGCGGATGAAATCGTACCTGTTTCTTTGTGCTAAATAGTAATTGGTCTCCCTTGCTTCCCTTGCTTGCTTTAGCTTTCCACTTTTTATAACTCCACCTTTTAACCATGTTTAATAGTTAGAGAAACTTAGATGCAAAGCCAAAAAAAAAAAAAAAAAAAAAAAAAAAAAAAAAATTGTCAGCACCAAATAAGTAATCACTTACCTTAATTCTAGTGGTTGAAGTCCTAGCGTGTAGTAGAATTTTCTTCAAAGTAATTTAATTTTTGCCATCCTTTGCTACAGTTGAATGATGGGGTTATTGCAGGAGGGGATGAATTGAGGAGAGAGAAAGTTAGTCAGGGGTAAGTCGTGAGAAAGATGAGGGAAAAGAATAGGAAAAGAGAAAAGAAATGGGTTTAATGAAGTCACGTGCCCGGCACATGACTGGTCAACGCCGTGTTTTTGAGGTCAAACTTGAAAATCCGGTGACTGGTATGTCCTGGCAAAAAATTTTGTTAAAATGGTATGTTCTCAAAAAAAAAATTTATAAGGTAGTTTCTGACAAAAAAGTCATTTATAAGGTAATTTCTAACAAATTTTCCTTTAATTAATTCTCTTATAATTCACTTCAATTCTTTTATTGAATGAATATTATTTCACACGTATCTGGATTACTCATACATAAGTATACGGAATAAAACCACTCAAATTCCCCCCTATTTGTGGTGTATTAATAATTTAAGTCAATGCAAATTGCAGTTTTTGTGTGTCTAACGTGGATAGCTGTCATCATTACTACATTATTAAGATTTATGGACTTGGTCGGTTCTTCCTGGATTATTGATAAATATATTCAATGACTTTGTTACGGTCATATATATATATATATATATATATATATATATATATATATATATATATATATATAATGTCAACGACAAATTATATTAATTACATAATTAATAAAAAAAAACCCTCTCCTCTCTCCTCCTTCCTCTTTCCAAAACCCTAACCTCCATTGTTGAATTTTAAAGGGGCCTCCATCAGTTTTAACTGATGGAAAGTCCCAATCCTAGTTTCTTAAAATTTTTTTTTTAGATTTTATAATAATGCTTCCTCCTTTTGGGAGAATCTTTTCTCCCTCGAAAGAAAGAGTTTTTGATCTCATTCGAAAATCAAGGGTATTTCGACCTTCATCGAAAGACAAGGTTTATCTCCTGTTTTTGAGGAAGAAATTTCTTAGTTTTGAATCCATGATATTAGATCTAATGGATTGTCGTGAAATTATTTCGTTGGTGAAAAAGTTATTGAGTTTTCGAATGTAGACAGATGAATCAGAAGAAAAAACATGCTCACGGCTACAAAAGATCGTTAAATTGTCTCTCCAACAAGGCTGTATTTTCCAGCGATATAAGCGGGAGATGTTCCACAGTGCAAGATCTACTCGATGATCGTAGTTTTTATGAAGGAAAATTTTATTTGATTCAATATCTTATGTATTTGTTAACGCCGAATCTATATTAGCTTTGATGCACCCTTGCGGAGGACACTTCCACACAACACTACTAGCTGTAGCAATTGGATCAGCTGGGAGAAAAACTTTCTTGGCATATTCAGTGTAATCCTCGACTAGTCTGTAGAAACCAGCCGCAAGCATGACTGCATTAGATTGTTCATTCTCGAATATGGACAGATTTCTACAACGCCAAGTAGCCCACATCAGAGCAGCAATTCGCCTCAGCACGCTGCCCTCAACTTTGCTATACAACCACAACCATCGAGCATCAAAAGAGTCAGTAGGGGGACAAATGTTCAGCAAGAGTGCTATGTTCCCATATAACTAATGTAGCAGAACACTCAAATAAAGAGTAAATTATAGTCTCCCTTGCAGCCCCACAGATCTGGCCAGAGGAGTCTTGTGTAATATGTATGTAATCCAGTCAAAAAAAAAAATTGTATGTGATGTATAAAAGATATGGTGAATATTTTGTGTGTATTGTAAAATACGTAAATAGGTGATGACATTGGCTAAAAAAATGAATAATAAAAACAAGAAGTTTTGGAAATTAGAGAAAAGCATCACCAAGAAATTAACATGTGTCCTTTATAGTGTTTATTTTAATATGGCAAAAGTTAATGAGCGCCCCCGGGGCGTTGGATAAGAGAATTAAAGTGCAAATATTAGAATAAAATTAACATTAATTACACCGAATGACGCGTGATTTTTATTCCTAACTTAATATCATTTCAACCAATATAATTTATCCTTATCTAACGCCCCGTGGCGCTCGTTAGCCAGATCGTTTTAATATTATATATATTATAGATAAATAGATTTTTCATTGTAAAACATATATATAAACAAGGGATTAATGTTTATTTGGTTTAACGTTTATGGTAAGGGAAGTTGATAAAGAGCAAGATAGTGGAAATAATTAGGGGAAAAAAAATCATGACTCAAAACTTTATAGAACCCCGTGCTGAATTGGACCGATAATCAGAACTAATGATGTATCCTTTATCCTTACCCAGCCCCCGAGAACCAACAATTTTTATTTAAAAATGGTTGTTTATCTTAGTTACTTCCTCCATTCTTTTTTACTTGACCCGCTTTGAGTTTTACACTATTCACTATCCTTCATTTGACCGTATTTTGTGAATAATATGTAAGGAAAAACATATTTATATTGGATCATTTTGAATTCGTCTCAATAAGTACTATCATAATATATAACTTTTATATTTTTTAATTATGGAAAATTAAAGTTATTAACCGTTAAAATTTTGCATTGGCAAGCGTGATAAAGAAACAGGTCAAGTAAAAAAGAACAGAGGAAGTATAATACATGTAATTATAAGCTCATACTTCGTATATGAAAGGATCACAATGGTAATGGAATAAACATGTTAATACTCTAGAAGGGGGGGGGGGGTTGAATAGAGTATGGGCGTTTTTCGCAAAACAGAAAATGTCAAGGCCTTGAGATCAGTTACAGGGCGGAATAAACTGATCTCTGTTTTACAAATCAAGACTTTGAAAACTATTTAAAGTAAAACAGTTGTAAGCAGAAGGTTATCAACGTTTGTTTTGGATTTTGTTAAAACTGTTTAAAACAAAGAACGAAAGCAAGAATAAGGCAAAAATAAAAACAGAAATAAACACAAGGAATTGTTACGAAGTTCAGCACAAAGGCCTACGTCTCCGCCTAGGGTTGTCCAACCCGTAGGATTTTAACCAACTTTTATTTCTTCCCTTAGAGTTCTAAAGCAACCTAGAAGATCTCACTATCTTCTCTCCGTAGTACTTCCCACTACACCTTAAACACTCAAATCCTAGAAATAAAAGCTGACACACTCAAACAACTTTGAGTATTATAATTTTACTACGAAGTGTATCACTCAAGTATTACAAAGTTTAGCACAAGTGAACACTCGTATTTTTCCCTCACTTTTAAGTAATGAAAAGTAGTAAACAATGAGAGAATTAAAGCTCTTAGAATAGCACAAGACTTCTTGAAAAACTTGGATAATGAAACCGGCTGATCTTCATGCTATTTATAAGGCTTTGAAGCTGACTTTAAAACGTTGCCAGCTGTCTCTTGGTCTTCAACAAACTCCAGAAATTTCGAAGCTTTCATATTCAAACTTCAAAGCTGCTTTTAAATTCAACGTTTATCTTCCAGCTAGAAATCTGTTACAGCATACTTAGCTTCCTAAAAACCAGGTCAGCAAGCACAAGTAACAGCAATATTTATCTTAAACAGAAATCTTATCATATTCAGAAAAATTCAACAACCAAATAAGAGAAATAATAAGCTAGATAAATAAATACATTTGACAGAAAATATTATCTTAGAAACATAAAGATAAAATCAGTTACTTAAAGAATAATAAATACATAAACATGCTTATAGCAGAATATACGAATAGGTTAGCATACTTAGTAGGATATATTCGAATATAATTTGACAGAATCATAAAATAAGCTAAGATAAATAAACTAAACTTATTAGAAAATTAAATAAACATTGACTATTCATTTTGACTTCCATCATCCAATATAAAACCAAGTAGGAATATAAACGAAATAACAAGGGAAACAACAAGGTGGAGTCATCAATCTCCCCCTTGATGGAAGTCAAAACCTGTGACAAATAATAAAGAGAACAAGTATGATTAGAGTAAGATAACATAAGGATCATAAATAATAACCATCATTCAAAAACATTAATCATATATATACCAAAAACTTTCCAAAAACTAACACACACAAACACAGATGTTCTCCCCCTTTTTGACATCCAATCAAGGGAGAAAATGTCTGGAACAAAGGTTGAAAAACAACTAAAATACATAAGTTCAAAGTTATTACAGACCAAAAGAAGCAAAATAACTTTTTAAAAAACATCAAGGCCTTGAAAATCAAAAATAAGCCTTGAGTCCTGCAACTCCCCTGCTCAACCAGCCAACTGAGCACTGATTTCATCAAGCTTCCTCTCAACATCTGCAAACAGGGAGTACATGGACTGGCGAAGATCCTCCATGCCAAATTCCAGAGCCTGAAGTTTTGAAGCAGGAACAGGAATATCAGCTTTGGGTTTATAGGCAGAGGGAATGGCAGCAAGGTCTTCATCAGAGAGGTCTGAGATGAACTTCCATGTATCCCTTCCAACCCTGAAAATTCCGATTTTGTTGAAGAGTTCCAGGCCCACATTAGGAGTAGTAAGACGATCTACTTCCTCTGTGTCAACTGGAACATCAAAAAATTCGAAGATCTTTGGCAAAAGGTTTGCATAGGGAAGGGTAGCAAGACGAGTAGAGTTGTAGATGTGAGACATATATGTGAGAATAATGGAGGGCAGATCAAGAGGATAGCCATTGAACAGCAAATACAGAATTTCAAGGCATTGATCGGTCAATAATTCCCTTGAATTAGATCTGGGCATAATAGTTTGAGTCAAAAATTGGAAAATGATCTTAGGTTCAAGATCAAGAGAAGAGTGAGTGAGCTGCTTTGAGGTAGGAGTATTAGGCAAAAGAAATTGAGTCCTAGAAGCAGTAATACAAGAAAGACGAGAAGGAAAGGACTTATCATACACAACAGGAGCAACCCCCAAAATTTCTACCAGAATCTGATTAGTTAATCTAATTTTGATTCCTTTAACAATTGACTCAATTGAAGGCCCCTTACTAGAATTAACAAGAGTCATATTAAGATAAAATAAACAAGTGAGACGAGGGTATGCAAAATTTGGCAGAGAAGCAAGATGAACAAGAGAAGACTCACGAAATAGCTTGAAACATCGAAGCGATGAGGAATTGACAAGATCCATAGCAATTAGTTCACAAGAACAAATCTTGCGAGAGTGATACCCATCCTTCCATTTACCAAGGGTTGTGAAATTCTTGAACCATGAAGGAGGGAGAGAGGATGGAACTTCAAAAGTGTGTTCTTGAGAAGCCGAAGCTTGAGATTTCTCAGGAAATTTGACAGGAATGGCTTTCGATGGGGTTTCCTCTTCTCGAATTGGTGAATGAGAAGATTCCGATTGTGAAGGTTCA